AGACCCTATGTATTGAAAATTAATCAATTTTAGTCTCCTTTCACCTATTGGGCCATAAATGTCCTTAACGTTAGTTTTTGTGCTCAAACTTACCCATATATCTAACAGAAGGGCCAACAATACCCTTAACGTATTGAAAATGTCTAAAAAATACCATCCGTTAATCTTTTGGTCAGCAAATGCCACTAACGTTTGTTTTGGGGCTCAAACTTACCCATATATATAACAGAACTAACCTGGTCAATTTTTTGACTATAACTTCGTCATGTAGCATTTTCTTAATCCGTCACATGTATTATTTGTGTTAAATAAACCCACCTGTATCTTTTAAAATACCCAACGACCCATGACCTGCTCCTATATATTTGAAAGGTCGGCTAAAAATAATTGCATTCGCTAGTTAAATATATATAAAAATATACATTGATTATATATAAAAATATGTGTATTATACATTAATATTTTAATATATATTTTACATGATATTATTTTTAGGAGAAATTATAAGGTGTAGTTTTCCGTTCAAATTTTGCAAATCTTAACAAGTTTAACAAATATAAATTTTAATTTGCAAACATAAAAATGATAATGTTCTATTTATATGATTCTAAATGAGAAGCAAAGAAACGGATGGAAAGGAAATTATTTAAAACCTTTAATTATATACATATCCAACTGCTTAGCACATTAATGGACTTTACATGATCTTTTCAATGGGAACTAATAGTGTTTTAATATATAACGATAGAGCTAAAATATTAGCAAAAACTATCGTTCCATTGTTAGATTTGCTTAATAAATTCGAGTTATGGATCATAATTAATAGAAAAAACTACACCGTATAATTTCTCCTAAAAATAATATCATGTAAAATATATATTAAAATATTAATGTATGATATACATATTTTTATATATAATCAATGTATATTTTTTTATATATTTAACTAGCGAATGTAATGATTTTTAGCCGACCGTCCAAAAATTAAAGGAGCGGATCAGGGTCGTTGGATATTTTAAAAGATACAGGTAAATTTATTTAATACAAATAATACACGTGGCGGATTAAGAAAATATCACATGACGAAGTTAAAGTCAAAAAATTGACCAGGTTAGTTCTGTTATATATAGGGGTAAGTTTGAGCAAAAAAACAAACGTTAGGGGCATTTGCGGACCAAAAGGTTAACAGAAGGTATTTCTTAGACATTTTCAATACGTTAGAGGTATTGTTGGCACTTCTGTTAGATATGGGATAAGTTTGAACCCAAAAAGTAACGTTAAAGGCATTTATGACCCAATAAGCGAAAGTAGAGCAAAATTGAGCCATTTTCAATACCTTAGAATCATTTTTGGCCCTTTTCCGTTGATTAAAAGACAAAAGCTAAGAAGACAATTCTATGACGTAGTTACATCTCATATAAGAATATCTGTAACATATCTTTCCTCTTACATTTTTATCCCAAAAATAATATATTTGATGTCACAAGCTAAGACAGTACTGTTAAGACAACTATACTTATAGCAAAAGATGAGTCCTGATTTTGACCAAAGAATTCTTCTTCCGTAAGGTCAAGCAATTAAAAAATGTGCAAATAAATCATACATTATAATCTAGTGGTATCGGTAAGAGTCTCACATAGATAATTAGCGTTGATTTGATTTCGGTTACTCCATTTCTTCTTTTCCTTCCCGAGCCTCCAACGTAATAAAAGCAATCTTTTAAAAAAAGTACATTAAACTAATTAAAGGGAAAATTGACAATTCATTTTCTCATAGGTATACTTGACTTACTTTTTTCCCGTTTTAAGTCAGTGGCTTGTAGTTTTTATTTTGAAAGAACGACTAGTCCACCCCTACTTACAAATTTTCAAATGCCTATTGTCAATAGTACTATAGTAGTAGCTCACTTTTATCGACTTTTTCTTTTCGAGACTTCTGAACACATAAACACCTTTTAATTCATCTTTTTCTTCAATATTTAGAGTTTTACTTATTAAAGTAAAAATAACACGAGTTAGCCAGTTTTCGGACTGGTAATTGAAAAATAGTTAGCGTTTGCAAAGTCATTGAAAAATAGCCATTATTTTACTTCAACACAGAAAGTTCTATCATAATATACTGGAGATTGGTGCACATGTGTATGAACTTCGTACGGACAAGGCCGGCTCTAATGTGTTGAGTAGTAAGGCTTGTGCCTTAGGCCCCCCAATTTTGGGGGCCCCATTTTTTAAAAATAATAGGTTTATAGGTATTTTAAAAATAATATTTAGTACTTTTAATACAAAAGTAGAGATTTTTAATATAAAAGGAAAGAAAGCTCTTTAGATACATAAATAAAGTAATAATTTGACTTACTTAAACGTGGGTAGATAAATAATTTTCCCAATGTTTCAATTTTTCACTTCTTACTCCTTCATTAGATAACGTGTAAAAATTTTACTCTCCCTTTCTTAATTTGTCCAAGTCAATCTTACTTTTTCCGATCTCATCATATTTCAGAAACCCCTATATATTTTCTCTCTTTCTCTTTAATATTCTTACTCACCTTCTTTCTCCAAGAAATTTAAGCTTCCAATATTTTATACTTCTATTGCTCGATAAAATCTTATCTAAAATTAACAATATCTCAAGAAAGATTAAATGAGTTGACTATGTTATCAATTAAAAATGAATTATTAGGGAAAATCGATTATAAAAAGAATTATTAACAACTTTGTATCTCAAAAAACTAAAAAAATAGACTTTAAATAAAAACATATCGTATAACTTTCTTTTAAAAATTTAGGTCTCATATTATACTTTGGCTTTAGGCCCCGCATATACTTGAGCCGCCCCTGCATACAGAAAGTTCCAGCATAATATACTCGAGATTGGAGCACATGTGTATGAACTCCCAGCATATTATGTTGGACCAATATATTATGCTGGAAGTTTACAACAGTGTTTTCGTTTAGATTTATCTTTACATGAAAAATGGCTAAATTTCGATTACTTTTGAAACTATGGCTATTTTTCAATTACCACTTGTATATCTGGCTATTTTTGAATTTCACCCCTTATGAAGGCCAACCATTGGATATCCTATTGATCTATGGTCCATCAAAGTCATCTTGTGGGCCAAGCCCAAACAGTTGGATATCCTATTGCTCTGCGATCCATCAAAGTCATTCCTAGGGCCGAAAGGATTTCCTCAGCAGGTTCCTTGTTATTCTTAGAAAATCAACTCAAATAGCCGTCTACTTAATTTCTTAAACTAAAAATAATTAATAAATTTATAATATATATAACTATTCATAATTATGTATAACGGCTAAAATAAGAAAATATTAAATTTGGCCGGCTATTTGTATAACAATCCCTTATTCTTATGGGGCTTTTACACTATTAAATTGAAAATTTATTTGGCAAGTTATACATTTGACCGGTAGGCCAATAATAATAATAATTACTTTTACGAGTCAAATATATAAAAAATTATATATAAAATATGTATATTATTCATTAATATATAAAAAATATATATTTTGCCGGCTATTATATTTTTGATCAGCTATACTATATAGTTTTTCCAAACTTATAAGCACCCTTGTAGTAATGGATTTCCCCACAAATCATTATATGTAGTAGGGTTTTAGCTACATTGCTGTCCATAATGGAAAAGACTATAAAAATATAGTATGGAAGGTCTCAAATTGGGAGGATTATGTGATTGGAAAGAAAAAGAAAGAACCAAATTTGATTTCCTCTCTTGTTTACTATAGCGACTAAGAATCAAATTATAAAAATGAGATCCAAGTGCATGCAGGATAACCCTAGGGGCTGTTGTTTCTCTCTCTCTCTCTCTCTCACTACATACAAGGATTAGATCTAGCTCTACTCAAATTAATTTCTAGTTCACCTCCGAACTCATCTATGCAAAGTGTGTTTTTATATGTTTTTCTTTGTCTTCCCCTCCGAAAATTGAACCAGAATATTTTTGTTATCTAATTTCCCTTAATTGTTCCCACTTTTTTTTTTCAAAGGCAAGGATATGCAGAAGACAGCAATGGGTTTCTCATTCTTCCTACTTAAAGATATTTATTTCTTGCTCTTCCCTCCCTTCCCTACTTAAAGAATTTTGATACCATCAACTTATTATTGCAGGTAATCCTCTTTAATTATTCTCATGTTACTAATTTAACTTTTTATAGACCGTACATGTAATAGTTTTTTTACGTTACCCAAAAGTGTAAAAGACATGCTGAAGTGTGTAAAAGTTATATATAGCAAAATATTCAATAGTCTCCTAGTCATGAATAAACAACTGATTTATCTTCGGCTGCTACATTCTCTCTTAGGTTATTAAGGTGGTCGATATGAGTTTACAGGATAGAACAGAACTTTGGTAAGCAATTAATACAGGAAATAGCCAAAGGAAACATTAAACAAGAATTTAAAAATATATTAAAATCTGATGCTGTTGACAAAACCTATGTGGATTGTAATCTGATATTCAGTTTTAATTAGTTAGATTTGACTTCTCAAAAGATTTCAAATCGAATTTCTCATCTTATTAATGCCCAATAGCAGTACTCGGAGGCAGATGGAGCTTTTGAATATTTAAAGAGTTAAACTGAACTCAAACATTTCCGGTATGGAACATAAATATATACATGAAAAAACCAAAATTCAACAAATATTAAATTTTTAAATATAGATCTCCGAAAGCACTAGTATTTCATTATGCAAAAATTGTAATATCCAGTTTCATGAACTTTGATAAAAAGTATACTCTTTCCGTTTCAATTTATGTGAATCCATTTGACTATGCACAAAGTTCAAGAAACGAGAGAAGACTTCTGAATATGTAAAATGAGACACAAATATTTTATGTGACTGTAAATCATTGCATAAAAGTAAATTGTTTCCAAGGAAATGACTCATTCTTTTTGACACCTAAAAAAGAAATAGGTTCACATAAATTGAAACGGAGGGAGTATCGGATCATACACAAGACAAGAAGATACATAAGTAATTTATTTTTTCATTATAATTACACAGATATATATTACAGACGGAGACTACATGATCTTGCAAAAATATAAACATAGTTTACAAGGATAGTATCTTACAGTACTATATATATATAGCTGCAAACATGTATAGTAACTCATAATATATAGTACTAGCTAGGGTGGTTCATATTCATAACTCATATTAGGGTTTCCACAAAACCTAAAATTTTCGAAATCACATCAGTTGGGAATGAGTTTGAAAGGAGGTTTGGATAAAGCAGGAGTTGGATCATATCTCCCATAATCCTTTGTGTTCACCTTAAGCAGCCTTTCATGGATTTCACTCACCTCCTCGTCATGGAGTAATTGCTCCTGTTCCATAAATATTTTTGGCGTGTTATATTATAATAATATGCTAAAGTTCGAGGAGTTTTAAGGTTAAAAAAAGAAAAAAAATTATATATAGTGTATAGAATTTCTGCAGCTTCATGTTAGTGATGAAGGAAGAAAATATATATATACAGAAAACCCTAAGCAAGAAGAGTAGACATGATAATATGTCAAACTCTTTTGTCAAAAGAAAAGTAGACTAGTAATCATGATTCATGATTACTCAAGTAATACTTAACTGAAAATGATTTTACTTTCAATTTCTTGATTTTTACTCATAATCTTTTTATTTGGGTCCAGAAAATACAATAAATTGTTGACTAAATTAAATACAAACCTCATGAATTGCACCTAGCGGTTCCTGCTCAAAGTTGCTCAAAGACCTCGATACTCGACCTGCATATTAAAAGTGGGCCTTGTTAGCGTCTTACTTTATACTTCTATAAGTTTCTTGCACTAAGAAAAGATAGGGAAAAAAAAGTTCATCGCCGTCGGGCGGATATAGATTGAATACATCAATTTCGACGCAGAGTAAAAATTTATAGGTAAAAATTCATTAAAATTATAAAAATAGTAGATATGAACTTATAACTTTAAATATATAATGAGTTCAATGCTAAAAATTTTAAAAGTTAAAATTATAGGATTAAAATCATGAATTCGCTTATGATCGCCATGCATGAGAGACTTATGGCTAGGACAAAAAGGAAATACAAAATCAGAGACAGAAAATAGTGAAAATAATGTCACTCCCTCCTGTTGAATTAACGAAATGTAAAATTTAAATGATGCAGATTAATGAAATTTGAGAACTTAGAAGAGAGCTCACTGCATGCAGGAGTTTTTCCTGTGACGATTTAGACTTTGTTATTTGTATAATTTGTAAATATATTCTTGTTTCCCTTTGTATACCATCAAGATTCAAGGCCATATGGTAGAAAAACAACAAGAAAAAAAAAAAAAGAAGACAAGAAATTTAAGAGTGTAAAAGAAGGGATCTTTAGTACTTTCTTGTTGATTCTAATTTCTAAGCAAGAAGACCTAACAAATTAAATGAAAGAATGGATCATGTACTATATATAAGGCGTTAACTAAAGTTAAGTCCCATTATTTGCTTCTTCAAATAAACCTACCTGCAAATGAAGTGGACAAAAGGGATGCAGTTATGAGAAGGAAGAAGAAACCAATTTTCTTGAGTAGCATGATACCACCCATTATCTCTAGTTCTTCAGATTTTTTTTAATTAATCTGCAATTCACTCTTTTTCTCTGGCACTCTTTTATCTTTCTATGAAAAGAAGTGGAAGAAATGATGCTTTACTTTTTCTACATTGCATCAGAGAACATTTAAATATATAGTACTATTTTGCTTTAAAGTACAGTGCCATGCTTTGGATAGAAATGAAGACAAATATTTTATTGTAAAGAATTTAATCCTTATTATGCTTTTATTTTAAAATTGTTAAAATCAAAAAGGTAAGAGACACCACTTTTCTTTTGTTGGGGCGCTATAAGTCTAAAGAGTTAGTGGATTAATAGTTTAATGTATCATTTAATTAACTCCAGAACAGGGAGCATGGACCCTTAACATAATTTTATCACTGTATCCAACTTTGTTTTTAGTGTTAAATTTTACATTGTAAATTAATATCAACATTCCTTGCAAATTGGCCTTTAATGCAGCTCCACAATATCTTCCCTCAATTGTTATATTTTGATTTTGCAATCACAGCACACCCTCCTCTGCTCCTCCTCGCTTTAAGAACTAATACTGATCATTAGAGGCCAAAAAGGGGGAAAAGGATTTTACGAATAGAAACTGAATAGTATGTTTTTCCTTCTGAAAGAAATTAATTGTCTTAGAGCAATACTTGTTTACAATTATAGAATATTACAAACTATCTTGATACAATGATACTTCTCGAAATATATATCAACCCCTATATCACAAATAACGTTTTTTTTTTTTTTTAATAGTGATGCTCGGACAGTTTACATACATGCAATTAGTCTACGTATGCACTATTTTCCCAAGACCACACTTGTGTGATTCTACTGGATTTGTTGTTGTTACATGCATGCAATTCGACTAGTTCAGCGGACGCTAGATTACGCCTTCGGATACAAGAAAGAAAATATTCAATTACTCCAATTGAGGTAGTGAAAATAATTATCTATATTTATCAAAAGCTAGAATTTTCTTTAATAGTGAACATTATTGATACAATGACTTCTCGAAATATATATCAATCCCTATATCACAAATAACGTTCTTTTTTCTTTAATAGTGATTTTCTTTAATACAATACAGTTTACATGCATGTAATTTGTCTGCGTACACACTACTCTCCTCTGACCTCACTTGTGCGATTCTACTTGGTTTGTTATTGTTACATGCATGTAATTCGACTAGTTCATCAGATACTAGATTACACCTTCGGATACAAGAAAGAAAATATTCAATCACTCCAGTTGAGGTAGTGAAAATAATTATCTGTACTTATCAAAAGCTAGAATTATGTGTAAATTTGTCTATTATTAACTAGATTGGTACAAGTACGAGGGAGAGCGAAAGAAATTAAACCACCTTGAGATAGTAGTAACCACAAAGCTCAATAAGAACAACGCTCGATGAATAGAATATAGATGAATAGTAGGGGTCTTTATAGGGGACTTAATTCTATGTGTTTTTGACATGTAAGTGGAGTTTAACAGATATTTTTTGAAAAGTTTTTTCAGATGAATTAGGTGAGCATAAAATAGCTTTTTGGGGATTAGTGCTTTCAATTATCCAATGCGACAAAGACAACCCACCAAATGCCATATTGAAATTCGAAAGGACAGTGGTGGAAGCTGATACAGTGAAGCACTATGCTCTCCTTATCAATTTGATATTAGCATATCATTGGTAGATAAATTCTTTCGATTTGTTAATTTAAAGGGAGAAACAAACCGTAAAAAGTTACGACAGTATAAATACTTTTTCTCAGTGAACATCGCTTTACTCTTAATTAGAGGTTGTGAGTTGAAGTCTTGAATATAAAAGCATCGCTTTACTCCTAAAGTATAACTTTCTAACATGAATCAGAATTAATTCCTCAAAGCAAATATCGAACGCCGAACAAAAAAGAAAAAAAAGAAAAAAAGAAAAAAAAAGAACAAACAAAGCTATTTGCTCCTCCTACCTGAATGGTTAGCAACTTGTCAATTGGCTATTACATTATACAGAATAATAAATCGAAATAAATGGTGCTCGAGAAGTATCCGACTTTTCTCAGTGAACATTATTATCCAGGCAATTTTAAAAAATGAAATCTTAGTTAAGATTTCATTTTAAAATAACCGGGACAATGACGCTCACTGAGAAAACAAGTAAGATATTCTTCCAAGCACCATTAATCTAGAACTATTATTCTGTGCAATATATATAATAGTCAATTTACAAGTTGCTAACCATGTAGGGGGAAGCAAATAACTTGTTTGTTCATTAATTTAACTAAAATGCTCCTCGTTTCTATTTGTTTAACATTTTTTTTAAAAATCCAGTTCATTTAAGAAAGAATGGCTTAGGATCGACATCGATCTCTATAATTTTTCCACTTCTATGTGTCATTAGACATGATTTGTTTTTCAAGTCCTATGGGTACAAAACAAGTGTAAAGGTACTTTTAGTACTTTATGCATGCTAAATTTATGTGTCAGTTTTTTTTTATTTGTTAAGCACTCAAATATCAACAAATAAATTAGACGAAAAGAGTACGTAACATCTTTGTAATCTTAACAATGAATTAAGGAGGATAATAAAAGAATTCGGAGAGTTAATAGGTATAGACTTAAATATGATTAAATATATATTTTCTCCTTAATAATGAAGACCTTTTGCCTATAGTATGGACAGATGTAAAGGTTGTTATAGGCATTGTTGAATGAATTAGATTCAGCTTAATTTCCTAAAATACAAGCATATTAGAATTATAGATTTAATAATAGGATAACAGAGACCAAAGAAAATAGTACTACTATTTAAAGAACTCGAAAAATATAATAAGCCTCTCTAAGAGGAGAAGACCCATGGAAATCCCTGAGCAATTTTACAGAGAAATTAAGTTGTTCTGACAATATTTTTCAACATCAGAAAAATTTCTTGTATCACAAAACTGCTTCAATCTATCGAGTGCGTACTTTAAATTTTCATCAATTTCGACCTACATTCGTTTATATTACGTTTAATTTAAACGGTTTAAATTAAACTGGTCTCCTAACACTAGAGTCAGTTGATCAGACTTTACCTGTCCATTATACTTATAGAATTAAAAAAAATCAATTGCTCCCCTCTCCAGCTTGTAACCATTTGAAACTTATCCCCTACTTCATCACTAACCCTCACTTCCAAGTTCCAACCCACACCTTTTTCTTTTCCATTCTCTTATTTTAAATATAAGTGCGCAACTTTGACTTTTAACAAGAATTAACAATTTAACAAGAAATATTATCCCTTTATCCAACTACAAAAGTTATCGGGGTTCAAAATATTTCTATGTACTACAAAGTCAAAAGCAATTGAAGACCTAGTCTCGTCTCGGTTTATCAAATCTTTGGATCCCAGGTATAATCAGAAAGAGGTAAGCAACAAATAATGCAACTATGGGGATCTCATCTCATCATAATTTTTTTTAAAAAAATTCCAACAAGAAAATGTACTAGAAATTGAACATCTTAACGTTAAAAAGAAAGAAAAACTGTGCAACAAAGTCAAAAGTATGCACTCAAGAAAACGTAGCTCGAGAGTAAGGCCAAACAACTAACTACTGCATGATTGGACTTCTATTCATCTCACCATACCAACTAACTGAAATGCAAATAGGGATCAGAAATAATCTAAATATTCACGAAGAATTAAGAGATATTGTATAACCAAATGAAAATTGATCCTCGACTTTCCACAAATTGAGATTTGGCTGTAGAAGAATCGACTGGTATTCGAAGAAGAACAGAGGGATACAAAAAAGTAACAAGAAATGTACACCAAATTGAACAAGTCTCAAGCACAGATGCACTGTTATAAGTATCTACACAAAAATTAGTGAAAAATATTAACATCATTTCGAGGATGTACCACCATCTACCATGTCTGTGTTTTCACTGCGCAAACTGCTCTCTCTTCTGTACGTTGGTTTTGCACCCTGAGAGAGCAAACGAAGAGTGATTACATTACCATGAGGTCTCAAAATAGATTGGACATATTTGTTGATGAAGGAAAGATAAGAAACAATCACCCAGAAACAACAAATGACAAACACCTTTGATCCACACTCATCCAGAAACAATCATGAAGGCATACAAGTTATGAACAGAAAGTTTAAAGCAATCCAGTTATCCTGCAATGCTCAAGAAAACACCTTTGATCCACACTCACCTGAAAAATTGTCCCCAGCTTTTTCATAGCCCTAGCGCGTAGCCTGAGAACATCCCTAGGAACATTGGGCTCTTTAAGGACCTACGCGAAAAACAAAGAGTGAACTTCATTAATATGTAGAGGGTCCTCATTCATAAATATGTAAAGATTATTCTATTTGGTGCTGTAAGTTACAGATCATTCAGTATATAGAAAGTCCCAAAGACAGGTTCCTTCACCCCACCCCACCCC